CCTCAATCTTTAAAAACAAAACAAAACAAAAAACAGAAAAAACCTCCACATTTCCGGCATTCACTTATCAACCTCTGTAGGTATGAAGGGTCTGTCATGAAGATTCATTCAACCCAGCTAACTCAAAGCCACATATGACTAACCCAACTTTGACTACAGTCACTATTAGAACAACAAAAAATCTGTCTAGAACAGCCTGAAATTGACTAGCATGTTCCTCAAGCCCCATTACTCCTCAAACCCACCTACACACAAATCAGTGAGGCAACCTAGACAATGGTAAGAACAAATTTTTGCCAAATTTTTAAAAAGAAAAATGCCAAAGAAACACTAGTAACAAAGAAATAGGAAGGTAATTGAAAAAATTTTGGAAATTTATAAATGCAGTATCCATTTCATAATATTTTTAGAGCAACTGTCACAGTGCCTTTTGCAAGAAAAGCTGTGTTTTTAATTACATGTCAAATTTGATAGTTTTGCCTGCCATAAAATTAGCTTCTAATCATATAAAACATCCAAGCATAATTTCTCCAGTCTCAAAACACAGCTCACTTCTGTAAGGGCAGAAGGGTGCCTGGGTAGCAAAGTCAGTTGGGCATCCAACTCTTGGTTTTAGATCAGGTCATGATCTCAGGGTTGTAGGATCAAGCCCCAAGTCGGGCTCCACACTCAGCGTGGAGTCTGTTTGGGACTTTCTCCCGCTCTCCCTCTGCTCCTCCTCCTCATGCTATCTCTCCAAAATAAATAAATCTTAAAAGGAAAAAGAAGAACCTAAGGGGTAGGGGTGCACAGAAAGGGAGGGAGAGGAGCAGACCTCACTCCTGCTCCAACAATTACCATTCAGTGTTAAGCACTGCCCTTCCTGTGAGGATCACACAAGGATAACAGGCCAACTAGGACAAAGTTGGGGAGCACAGTCTCTGTAGTCACCCACTGAGAATCCAATGCTTGTTGGCAAGAGCTGATTGGAAATCGGCAGAGTGCAGAAGAAGCTGCTAAAAGCCTCTGTGAACCTGACATGAAAAATCAGATCAAAACAGCAGGATGGAAAGCCCATTATTTTTATCATTACAGAAAGAAAATAACCATTAGAAACTGACCAGAACATACGCCTTCTTCCAATCATTTCCACAAACAGGAGACTCAGATTTCTAATGAAAAATCACTATGCACAGAGCCAAATATTTGAGTCAGCAGAGACCTTACCTAATTGTTACACTGCATTCCCCCTGAGCCATTTGTCCTGCCTGGATAGCTCTCCACCCTCACCCCAACCAAACCACAGATGTAGACTAACCTTTCCCCAGACAAATACACGTCATCAAATCTGCTGATACGTGCAACTTAATTCCCGACTGCAGAAGTCACTTTATAGCCATCAGGGTTAAAGGTCTGATTAGTATACTGCATGGGAATAGGGTCCTTGTGGGGATTTTGCTCATTCTGCTCAACCGGGATCAAGAAGGAAATCCTATGGAATTCCTATGCTTCCACCTTTGTAAAACAAACGGGTGGAACAGGGCTCAAGAGAAGACTAACTCGAGGGTAAGGGTGGGAGTGCTGGGGAAGGTAGTATGGAGAGAGACTGTCTGTTGGAATAAATGAGGCAGTTAGAAAGTTCTGGGGCAGATAAAGGCACTGACCTTCCGATTTCCGGGTGTGACAAAGATCCACAACGGGCTAGGAGCGGGAGCTCCCTGAACCTCCAACAGGCACATTCAGTCCTGTCAGCCTGGACTCAGCCCTGCCAGCACCAGCAAACAAACACGCACATTCTTCTCAGAGCCCACATGCCATACAACGCGGTCTCTCTCTCCAGGGCCTGTTTATTTAAGAAACCAGATGCTTTGATGTTGGGGTGCAGTTGGGAAGTCCTGGGTAAAGAAGTAGTTAATGACAGGAGCAGAGGGAGGACAGAGAGTGAGCTACAGTTTCTGGCTTTTAATCATAAGTTTTGAAAGTTTTAAGGAAATTATCAAATGGTCTGAACACAGGAATGAGAAGTAAGGAAATTATGTCAGCAACCACCGTAACTCTGGCCAAAGCATTTCATCTGTTTCTTTAAGACAGTTTTCATGCCGAACCTCAAAGGGGTACTTATAGGAGGAATGTTTTGAAGCAATCCAACTTAGCAACCAACATTAATAAAATCTTCTGTGCTTGCTCAATTTGTCTCATGTGCAAAGGTTATACGTGTCACAGATACTCCAAGTGCTTAAAAGAGTCAGTTAAAAGTGTGGCATGAAAACAATTTTGGGTTAAAGGCAAAAAGGTTATTTTTTGAGTCTGAGAAAAGGATTTTTATAAATACACAGACACACTTGCTGGATTTCATGAGGGAAGAAGCCCAAGGTATAGGTCATTAGGGCACACATCTCCTAATACCAGAATATAAAAGCACTATCATGCTTTAGTTTTACCTTGCTTTTTAAAGAAGAAACGCCAATAAATTCTCACAAGCCAAACAAGCCAATGGTCCAGGAGATCTGCTAAAACCTTCTGAGGCTTTTCATTGTCCAGTCTGAACTATCTTTTCTTTGTATCTTGGCACCCCCAGCCTCCAGCACATCTTGGACATTTGGTCGGCGTTTTCATGCACTGGCTATATGAATCAATGTGGCTTAACATGAACTGCAAGTTTTAACAAATGAGAACCAAAAACTTTTGATTTTCTTTGGGAATTGACTCCTGTCATCTTATGAAAAACTCCTCTTAGTGGCACTTTCCCAGCTGTACAAAAGGATAAAAAAAAAAGTAATATATACAAAAGTATACAATAGCCCTGATAAAAAGTTGTTCGGCCATGCTGATCCTTTTATTTCACACTGTTTACAAAGGGTCCCTAAATACTAGATCTCTCAATACCGTTCAGGATGACTTATCAGGATTTCTAAAAATAAAGAACTGAAAAGCAGAACAGACTACCACATAACAATTCTGGGTTAAGGACCTCTAAGAACTGCTTTACTCAACCATTTCTAAGGTGAAGATTATTAACAACGGCTTCACTTTCACCACATTCACATGTTATAAACAGGATGGGATCTCTGAAGAAGAGACTATGGGCAATTAACAAGTAAAAAAAGAGCTATTTAAAATTAGGTCACTGAAAGAAGACTGAGGAAAAAAAGCCAAAAAAAATAGTAGCTAAATAAAATGAGATAAATAGAGGGAAGCTTCTTTCTTTCTTTTTTTTTTTTTTATTTGACAGAGAGAGAGAGAGAGAGATCACAAAAACAGGCAGAGAGGCAGGCAGAGAGAGAGAGGGGAGGAAGCAGGCTCCCCGCGGAGCAGAGAGCCCGACATGGGGCTCGATCCCAGGACCCTGGGATCATGACCTGAGCGGAAGGCAGAGGCTTTAACCCACTGAGCCACCCAGGCGCCCCGGGAAGCTTCTTTCTGAAGAACAAGGTTTCAGATCTGCTCTTGAGTATATCTGGCCTAAGGAACCCCTGAGCCATTTTTTTCAACCTCTAGCTTTAGAAATCAACAGTTTACAAAAGACGTATCAAGTCAGACTAGTCAGGGAATACATCCAGGAGTAGCAGCAGGTCCTAAGGTAGGTCAACCAGCAAGAGAAGAATCAAAAATATGGGGTAAGAATGCTACCTCCAGCGGACTCCAGGAAGGAAGTGGTCCTGTTTTAAGTTCAGCATCAGTGCTGTAAAGCCTTCCTCAACTCCCCACTGTGAGACAGCCATTTACACCATTATTTTTTCCTGGCAAACAGGAAGTCTTCCCAGTACTCACTCCACCCTGTCCACATCCAACTTGGTTGTATCCAACTTGGTTCCACCGGTCAGCACTAGTTACATAGCTGCCGCCTGTGTGGCCTTCAGTGGGGCTCTCCCTGACTGCCTGTGCCCTGACAGTAACTGCCCCCAGGGACCCCACATCTGAGAATTCAGCACAGGTATCAAGTAGAGTCCAGGCAAAGGGAGAAAGACAGTTCAAGGGGAGACTGAGATCTGGCTGACAGGGAATGTGGTCATACACGGACAAGTACAACCAGCCACTCATCTCTACCCTCTGTGCAACTCTTGTTGAAAAAGGAAGGGATGTAATGGCGAATGTATCACATGAAGGCTACTCTGGGCAAATATGGGTAGCAACAATTAAACCATTAGCTCCTGGGGAGACTCGAGGAAAGGTGTCCGCGTTGCACTGCAGCAAGGAGCCTGGACCTTCTTAACAATGGGCTTTGTCAGGCCAGTAGTGTGCAAAGGTTGAGGGGCTTGTCTCTAGGGAGAGAACTATCGCAATTTTTAAAGTTTCTGACTAGGACTGAGCACAAAGGAGAATGTCGGCAATGTGCGTCCTGTTGGAAATCTTCTTAAAACAGGATGAAGACAACCTGGTCCAACTCCAATGCCAGGCTAGAAGGTCAAATTGAAGGCGGAAGAGAGATCACAGATACATTGTCAGCCCATCTCCAAGCTTGTCCCTTCACCTACTAAAATACACACAGTAACCTAAGAACTGCCGTGGGATTTCTGAACACCCGCCTACCCACCCTGAAAGTACTGACCCAGCGAGGACACACTTCTGCTTCTGCGCAGCCCAACTTCTCCAGCACTTAGAGGTGATTAGTCCTCCAGCCTCCTGGTGGGTTATAGCGTTACTGGGTCCTGATTATTTACACAGACACAACACAAGGGCGCTCTAGAAATTTTGGCAACTTTAAAAAAAAAAAAAAAAGAATGCCGTGACAGTCTAAGGCTGCCTCCCCTGTGACGAAACACAGCCGCGCGGGCCGCGGCGTCCCGGGGGCCGCTCCCGGGCCGGACTCCGCCCGCCCGCCGCAGTTTCGGGGCCGCGGCCCAGGGGGCGCGGGCGGCGCGGGGCAGGCGAGCGGCTCGGGTCTCCCCGGCGGAGCCGCGAGGCGCGCGGACGCTGGAGGAGGGACCGGCCGCGCGGGCGGGGCAGGCGGCCGCCGGGGGAGGGGGGCCGGGGGCGGCACCTCGCAGTCCGGGCGGCGCCCGGGCCCAGCGCCCGCTCACCTGGTGCGTGTTGTTGGCCAGCTTGGCGACGAAGTCCCGGACCCGGCCGCAGTCCTGGTCCTCCTCGAGCGCGCTGCGGCGCCAACGGCCGCCGCGGGGAACCGGGTCCCCGGGCGCGGCCGCGCGCAGCCCCCAGCTCACCCCGACGGGGCCGGACCAGCGCGACAGCGGCGCAGCGGGCGGCGGCGGCGCGTCCAGCCGGTCCTGGCCGAAGGTCTCCGGCGGCAGCAGCTGGAGGAGAAGGAGGAGGCCGAGGCCGTGGGGCCAGCGCGAGAGGCCATCCGCAGCTCCCCGGGGCCGCTCCATCGCCGCCGAATGCCGACGCCGCCGACACCTGCCGCCCGGCGCGCCCGCCCACCCCCGCCCTCGCCGCGCCACACCCCCGAGCCGGAGCCCGGCGCTCCTTGGATACGCGCAGCCGGGCCTCTCCGCCCCCATAGGCTGGCCGCCTGTCCTTCTTCCCCGGTCCGCTCCTCATTGGCTCGCGTCGCCTCCGGCTTCGGGGGTCCTGGATTCGGATGCCAAGATGCGGGACTGATTGGCTGGAACGTGGCAGAGACCGCTGAGGTCATTCCCCCATCGCCTGGCGTCTTCGGGGCCGGGCTTCCAGAGTTAGCGTAGGAGCTTCCCGCGCCTCCTGCGAAGCACCCCCTGCCCGTGGCGCCCAGACCCTCGCTGCTCGCTCTGGCACCCTCAGGTTGGGGACCGGGTTATTCCCCCCCTCCAGCGCGTCTCCCCCACAGACATCCCTAAAATTCCTTGGGTTGCGGCAGCGTCTGGAAAATCTCCTAAGGGACTCCCTCAGCTTGCTCAGCTGGAAAAGGGGGCTTCGTCATGAACCGGTGCTTCAGGTTTTTAACCTTCGCGTACTGGAGCACCCATTGTCCAGTGAAGCAGCCCGCCTCGCTGCCAGAAAGGTAAATGCGAACTGTGTGGGCTGGTCCTACGGAGGCAGATAGCCATCAGAACATCCGTGACTCATGCAAGCTTGAAGAGTCCTCCACTCCACCACGTTTGGTCTCACTCGCTTTCCTCTTCTGCAGGGAGTTAGGCCAAAGGCAGAATTGCTTATTGGTTTCCCTAGACTTAACAAAGTAGCTTAGAAATCAGGGGTGGGTGAAAGGGGCAAGAAAATTCCCCAGTGCTTACTTTAGACACGATCATTTCATAGGTAGGTGCATGTTGTCTCTACCTAAGTGTCTTAACCCTGCCATGAGTGCATTGCACAAGTTTGGTTTTGAGTATATGATGCCCCCTAAATTAGCATCCTGCCTCTAATCAATAAAACAAAACCCTATGCGGTTCCCTTTATCATAGACACTGCACACTTAACTTTTAAAACATGCAGCGCAGGTAAAACCAGTTTTGAATCTTTACTGACTCCATCCCTTCGGAATGCTCGAAGTTGTTCAGTAGAAAAGGCAGCAAATAGAAAGATACTAAGCGCACAAACGTTACGCTCAAATAATACCACTAAAAAGTACTTTTAACTACAAACTGGAGGTAAACCCAAATGAGAATATATTATTCATTGTAGAGCAAAATGGTGCAATGCACCCAACCTAATGTTTACATTAAAATCCATCTACTCACAGTAATTTGCAAACAAAAAGCTTTACAAATTTACATTTTTTTCCAGAACAACCGTAAGACCTGAGAAGTGAAAAATATTTTTGAATGGCATCTGAGCAGAGTGGTGAAATCACTAGATCAGTCTTCCAAGTTCTCAGCTGCTGAAATGACAAAGCTTGAAAACTGGTGTACAATTTGTTCCTTTCCATTAATTACCATGTGTCAGATTATTTTTTTTAAATACAGATTATTTTTTAATCTATGCCAACTATGGAGTAGATCACAAGACAGTCAGTTCCAGTAGCATGTGATTAGCTAGGGGAAGAAGAGAGGGTATAGAGGAGTATTTCTTTGTTCGGGTGACACAAAGATGAATGGTCTATTGTCTTATGGACTTGAAAAGAAAAAAACAACTCAACAGTGCCATCTCCTGGAGAAATTACTACATACACTTTTAAACAAGTATTGTTGCAGTTATTGTTGCACTTTTGAATATATTACTTTTTGTTAACCAACCATATGCGTACAGAATATGTATTTCCTTCATCAACTGCATTAGCTGCTAGGGACATGGTACTTTGCATATGGCGCTGAGAAAATGTTTTGCGTAACTAAAGTGTTTCAGTATTTTAGTCTGACACAGGCACTATATACAAAAGTTGCACTGTCAGATCTCCCTTGTGAAATACTGCACATAAGATCTTACCTCACTTGCAGGACTAAAATACATGTTACTTATTAGTAAAAACTGTACCTTTCTCCAAGATAAATTCTATAGCAGAAAGATGAATAAAAAGTAGTTACACATCACAAAACCATCACTTTTCCTAGTGAGATAATTTCTGATCCTTTTTTTTTTTTAAACAAGAAGTCTTATTTATTTGACAGAGGGAGGGCACAAGCAGGGGAAGCAGTAGAGGGAGGGGGGAAGAGGCTTTCTGCTGAGCAGGGTGCCCGATGCGGGCCTTGATCCCAGGACCCTGATGTCACCACCCAAGCCAAAGGCAGATGCGTAACCAACTGAGCCACCCATAAGCCCCTCTGATCCTATTTCAATTGGACACAAGAAACGTTGTAGGAAACGTACAGAAAACCAAACTTCTCTTTTAAGGATGCTGAAATCCTATTCTTTCAAAAAACATAGAGGGTGTGAAATTCACTGTCTCACCAGTTGTAGAGTCCAAGGTACAAATAACACTGCCTAGGCAGCGAGAAGGCAAAGTGGTGTAAGCTGAGGCTAAGGGAGATATGTTAAGATCTGTTTTTCCCTACATAATACCCGTAATTCAGAGACACAACTCTCATCTCTCCCTAAAGGAGCATGCTTTGTCCATGAACCTACAGAGTTAAAGGGAATGCTAGTCTAGTTCTTCCCAGTAGAAGCTTCATGGGAGCACAGACCACATCCAGTATTTTCACAGCTCCATCCTCAATGCCTAACACATGGTACATAGTAGACAGGTATTAGATTTGAGTAAATGGAAATAGTGATAGGATTTTTCAGTGGCATTTTCTACCAGGATTTGATAAATGGTGAACATGAGAGAAATGAATCTCATGATTATCATGTTGTATTTATTTTTTAAGTAACCTCTAAGCCTAATATGGGGCTCAAACTCATGACCCTGAAATCAAGAGTTGCATGCTCTACTGACTTGAGCCAGCCAGGTGCCCCTATCATGTAGTATTTAATAACAGGGATAAAATCACTAGACCAGTCTCCAGAACATTGGTGACAATGTATTCTGGTTCTCTACTTTCCTTATGTGTATATCTAGGGCAAAATTATTTTCTTCCAAATGTTTGCCATTACAATTTCCAAATGTATATAAACACAAGTTTTTTTTGTTTGTTTGTTTTGCTGGAAACACAGTATGAAATTTAGTATGAATTCAACCTACTCAAATAATGATGACTTATTTTGACATCATGGACTACAACGTTCTACAAATGTCAATGAAGATAATATGCAATCAATTCTGCCTTAACCATATATGGATTTGGGGCACCTGGGTGGCTCAGTCGTTAAGCGTGGATTAGCCATGTTGTAGATAGTGCTGGTATATTTCAAATTTCAATGAGATTTCCCTATTACTCACTAGGTGTATAGGCTCCAAGGACCTGGCATTATAAAATCAAGAGTTGATGATATGAAACCAGAAAATCTGAATTCAAGTCCCACAGCTTAATTTTCTGTGTCTATGGACATATACCCTTAGATTCTTCATCTGTTAAAGTATGATAATGATATCTACTTCACATGGCCATTTTGGGGGCTCCAATAGATTGATACTTTAATCTCAATGAGTCATAAAATGGCAGCTTTTATAGTTAACCTCATTAAAAATGAAAATCTCTTTTCAAATTATCTATTAAGACACAAGAACTGGGACAACACTGAAGTTGGCTCAATTAACTCTAACCCTCAAAACGTGTTTTTCATGGTCAATTTGTTAACATCTCCTTCATATAATAAAAGCAGCAAAAGTACCTATTTAATCAAGAGAAACTACAGGACTGAATGGGTTCACACTGGTATTAATATCTCTGGGAGGAGATGGACTAGCTTGAGTTCATTTGCCAACACCAAGGGATTTGTGAGACAGTTGATTCTGTTGTAGACAGACATTAGCTTTTAGAATAGATACTCTGATAGAATAGGGATATTAATACCACTATCCTTTTTGCCTTCTAACATGAGCATTTCAAACAAAAGACTGCATTAGAAGAGAATAGTCTATTAACAAATTTTAAATTTTTCTTTATTTCAGAACTGCCTTTATGTACAGACATCATAAAAAAAAATGCACATATAATGGAGATCTTCCAAGAACAGGAGCTGAAATTAAAAGTTAAAAGCATTTAGGAGAACTGAAATTGTCCCAGAGAAGTTCTGAGGATCATGCGTCTTTAAATGTCCTTGATAACCTCTTCAAGTTCTTCCTTTGTGAACATGTGGAAATTCTGGCCGGGCTGCACCGTGGCCAGCTGGAAAGAAAGCAGAGAAGGGTTAACGAGCTGGGCTCGATTACTCTGCACATAGCACCAGGTCAGGAGAAGCTGTGTTAGTGATGCCGCTGTTCATTAGGAACTAAGGGATCTGCTGTCCCAGGGATATCCTTTCCATCCGTAGGTTCCTAAAATAGCCGACTCCCAAATAAAAAATTTTATTGACCAAATTTTCTATTTTGAGGTTAACTTACCACATAATAGTTAACCAAATGCCTGGCGTCATTGTCATTTCTTCAAGTTACTTCAACAAGGATCAGAAAAGCAGCAGCAAATTACATGGGGTTACTACATTTTTCCATTAATGATTTCTTTAGAAATATATTAAAATGTGTTTACACATTTGCAAGTAACCTTGTGTGTGTGAGACCTTTGTTTCTTGGACAGTCTGTGTTTCAATTTCCAACAGAAAAATGGGGATAATAATACACTTATACAGAAATTGTAAAGATTAAATATGTTAATATATGTAAGTGCTTACAACACTGCCTAGGAACATTGTTAAGTACTAAATAACTATTAGGTATGTTGTATTCTCTAAAATTGTTCATAAGGCAACTTAACAACAAAGTTCTTTTTTTTTTTTTTAAGATTTTATTTATTTATTTGACAGACAGATATCGCACAAGTAGGCAGAGAGGCAGGCAGAGAGAGAGAGGAGGGAGCAGGCTCCCCGCTGAGCAGAGAGCCTGATGCGGGGCTCGATCCCAGGACCCTGAGATTAT